TTTAGTGGGATCATGTTGATGAGCTTGCAAAAGAGGCAGCTCAGGTGAGGGCAGGAGAATCGTTGGAGGCTAATAATAATAGTCTGTGATGAATTGACAGCTTAGCCTAGGGTAATGATGGGGAAACTAAGGAAAGCTGAAAGTAGGACTACTTTCAGCTACTTTCTCAATAACTTTTTGAATATAGAGTATTAAGAGCAAAAGAGCCAAAATTTAATGCATGACAATGAACTGCCTATATGGCCAGTGGGGGTGGGAGGGGCGGGGTAGATCTTGTTTGAATAAGAAAATGGAAATCAAATAAGTTGAATGTATTCAGGTGATATTTAGTCTAGAGCTCTTAGAGTTTTGAAGGATATAAGAAGACCATCAGATCTAGGCCTGGCATCAGGTGGGTAGGGTTACTATCTGTGTATTTTATGAAGAGCTGAAGTCCAAAGAAACCTGAGATCACACAGCTACTTTCTGATGGCAACTGAAAAATCCATTCAGTCACTCCCAGAGCAATACGAGAGCCCCCCCAAAGAGGGCAGAAAAACTTCACCAAGAACCATAGAAGAGCATTAGGGCAAAGACCTGGGCTTTGGGGATTAGTCACAATTAAGAGAAGAAGGGAGGTCGAGAGACAGCAATAGAGAAGAATTTCATGGATAGAGTGTTTACAGACTATTCAAACCTCATGTTACATTTCACTCATGTTATAAGTCACTCCCAGTGACTTATGTGGGTATATTTTCTCACGAGGTTGTTGAGATAGTAAATCAGAAAAGCTTGTGCTGAAGGTTGACATGTGTGAAGGTATATTGAATTATTTCGGTTATTTCCCATTATACATTTGTGTCCTTTTGTAGAGTTTACATGTGTTTCATGTCTGGCGTCTCAGTGTTGTCTTAAGTTTTCAATCAGTCTTCTGTTTGTGCCACAGAACCCATAGAAATACGTTAGTGGTTAGGCATCTTGGCGGAAAGCAGACTTCCTAATAGCAATTTCTCAGGGCCTACAAGACACACACACTTAATTATAATCTTGAAAGTGAATTACTTTTTGATAAGTAACATATATCCATGATAGAAAATTTGAATATCACTTGCAAAGTAAATCTCCTTAAGTCTGTGACCTCACATCCAAGTCTCTTCCTTGGAAGTAACTTCTGTTACCAATTGTTGTGTATTGCTTTAACTGTATTTTATGCATATTGTCAGCATATGTATGTTAAATGATTTTAAATTGAACTTTGAGCATATGCAGAGTAAGTAATTATAATTGACCAATATCCATAAACTCCTACTTTTCAAATGCATTTTATATCAAGCTTTCTCCATTTTCTATTAGCTATTAACCAGCCAATAATTTTAGCACATGTCTATTTTGGAAAGCAAGAAGGGGGCTCACACTGCACATTCCAAACACCTGTGTGAGGACAAGACCTACAGCCAGTGCACAGATATGCTCCTGCTTTAAGTACGTCTACTTTATATTTGACCATGTGCCGTAACGGGAGTACAACTTAGGGGTATAGGAGGGTCTCTGGCCTATTCCTTGCCACTCCTGAGCATCTCCTGTGAAGGAGTCTCTGCACCTTCTGAGACACCCCTGTGCGCCCCATTTCCATGCCTGTGTCTGTTCTGTCACCAATACCTATACCTTTGAGACAGAATCCTTTTTCCATTCTCCGTTCCCTTTCTTACCAAGAATTCCCATACTGCCAGATGCCTTGTCTGCCTCGTGAGGTTTTCCACCAATCAGTCTCCTTCCACTCCTCCTGCACTCCCAACCTCACGTTTCAGATTCTTTATGTGGACTTTCCACATATGAGTGAGATCATGTGATGGATATTTTTCTTCATTGTCTTCAATGAATATATATTTTACAATGTTGATTATATTTCACCAATTTCTTTTTACTAAGTGTGTTTTGGGATAGCTATTCTGTCTCTCACTTCTTTATTATTATGCTGAATTCTCAAATTTATATTTTATCTTTCTCTTGTCATGTGTCCTTCACTATTTCTTTCTAAATCTTATTTATATGCAAAGTAATTAATTTGTTTAAATGTCTCTTGCAGTGAAGATTTAATTTATCTTCTTAGATACCTTGAAATTCTGCCTTTTGTTATTTTTGCCTCATAGAGGCTTTTTCCATCAGCAGGAATGAAAGCCGTCAATAAAAATCAATTGCTGACACAATGACTGTATAGAGGTTTACCATAATGTGTATTGGAAATGTCTTTGAAATCCTTTTCCTGAATGGAAGGTGCCATGGCTTGTGTTTTATGGCTTTCTAATGTTAGACCGTAATCTCATTTAGCATTTTCCCAAAGTGAAAATGTTGCATTAAGGCAGCATAACAAGCATTGCAGATCAATATGAGGCAGAGCTTTGCTCTATAGATTAATCCAAGAAAAATGTGCCTGAGTCTCCTCCAGGAACTGGGGAACAGTTATGTTGATCTCCACTCCTTCCCTTCTTTCTGCCATCTACTCATCAATGCAGATTGACAAGTATGCAATAAGAATTACAAATATTTGAAATTCTTTACACACACACACACGCACACACACACACACAGAAATGCTCACACTCCAGACCATTGGATAGGAAGTCAAGGGCCCTGGGAGTGAGTAGCATTGATTTGTGGTGAAAAGTATATTTTGACACATTTCAAAAGATAAATAACTCAGGACTTTAACTTGTATGATAAATAGCTCAACTCAGAGTAAATGCTTATATACAACTTAAATGACCTCTTTCTAAGGAGTGCATAGCATTAGACAAACCCCATTGTGAATCATCTTTTTAAAGTCAAAAAGCCCATCTTCTGAATGAAGTGTAGAATGTGGAAGCTAATTCTTCACAGTTTTTTCCTCTAGGTAACAGGAAAGGGCTATATATCTGGTCAGGGTTGTCCTCATCTCCTCTCCCCATTCCCCTTTTAAAGCTAAGATATGTTGGGCAGGGGATGTTCCTCAACACTAGGAGTATAAATGTGTTCATACTCCTGCTTTCCTGGGAAATAGTATGGGCATTAGTTGTGTGTGTGTGTGCGCGCGAGGTTTGGCTGACCTCTTCGAAGTCATATTTTATTCAGCATTTACCCAGATGTGCATCTTGCTGAAGTCTGGGCCTCTGCCTTGGAAGCACAGCTGGCTCCTTTTAGATGCTTATGCTCACGGCAGGGGATTAAGGAAATCCATGTCCAGAAAAATCCACAGACATCTGAACTTTGAAATCTTAAAGAGAATTGAAACTCCTGGGATTGGATTTCAATTCTGTTCTTAGATATTTGGCAGAGCGGTGAGGGAATGAATAAAAAGTAAAAGCAAAGTTATGTAAAATTTGTGGGATTATTTTTCCCCTGTACGTCTGCTTTTTCTAGAGGGTAGTAAAAAGTAAATTCCCTCAGGGACCCGTAATATGGTTTGCATTTCAGTTTTCTATTGTAGAAAAATATATATTGGCTTAGTGTGTTGGATAAAAGTAATGAGGAGACAAATCGTCACCCAGGGGTTTCCTTATTGATGAGAATACAGTCCTGTGTTCTCTAGGGGTTTTTTAGAATCCATTAAATTTAAAATAATGCTATTTCAAGTTTACTGTGGCAATGACAAAATTTAAATTTCAAAAAAAAAAAAAGAACTAGTATGAGAGACTGGAAACCTTTTGTATTAAGCAAATCTAATTTGAAAAAAAATATGAATGTCAAGATTAAAAATGATAATAGTATGTATTTTCTGTGTGTTAATTCTTATAATCAAAATTCCTCTACCATCTTAGGACTATTTTATTTTGCTTTGTATAATTCATTTGATTTATTTTGTTGTTATCATTTTTCAAGTGTATATGATAAACTTTTTTAAAGCACTTAAGCTAGATACTGCATATTCACTCTAACTAAATTTTGAGATTTGTAAGTATAATTAGAAAAATGTGAGCCCAGGAATTAAAAATTATTTTTTCTCTCCACCCATTTGTATTCTCAACAACTAATTGCATGACTTCTCTAAGAGGTATCCTTATCAGTATCGGAGGTCACAAAGAAAATGAGATAGTTCTCGGGATTTGCATCCTAATAAATGTAGGCAAATAGGGTACATAGACTATAGTCAGCATTAAGTGCCCAGTGAAGGACTGAAAGACATTAATACAAGGTCAGTGGGGTCACCCTAGAGAGGGATAGACTCTACCATGATGGGAGAGGGAGTGAAAGCTAGTAGAGAAGGTTCCACTTAAAAGACATGGTATTTCCCATGTATATGGATGGGAGTTTGGGTGCAAAGCATTCCCAAAATCAAGAGCCAGCCACGTGAGCTAAGATGTGAAGGGACACGTGAAAACCAAACCAGGAAATGCTGCAGATGCCTGGGGAATGAAGGCTAAAGAGTTGGCAGGAGCCCACTGAAGACCTGCTGGTTGACCTTGTATTTTATTTACAAAGCAGGAGGGAGCAAGGCTGTCTCAGATTTATGTATTAAAACTTTTCTGGAAGAACCTTCTTCTGGAAGGCAGGAGCTGGAGGTGAAAGCTGAGAGTCAGAGAGAACAGTTGGGGGGCGGGGGGAGGGGGGGGGCGCGGCGGTCACAGAATCCAGGATGGAAATGGGAGGACAGTATGTATGGAGGAAACAAAACAAAATGTACGGTCTTGAATTTTGTGACCCGGTGAGTGTTGGGGTGGAAGAAAGAAGATACGGCTCTCAGGCTTCCGGTCCGGCTGGCTGGGCCCAGGAGTATGTGTGCCATTTGCCTGGTCTGGGCTTTGGTCTGGCGGGTAGGTTTTAGTGACCAGAGAGACTTGTGGTGGTGTCAGCTAATGAAACTATTATAATTTCAGAGAAATTGTTTGGTTTGTATATCTTTCAAGGTTGAAGAAAATTATTTCTCTTGAATTTTGTTTTCTACATTTGAAACATTTATCTTACTTAATGTTTTATACATTCTTTGGCCTCTACCTTTACTCTGACTGAAAACCATCTGCCTCAGTGATCCCTGTTTTTGTTTCCAGGCGGTATGAGGTTCACCCAGTCTGTGCAGAGCTGCAGACCAAGATTCTCCAGTGCTACCGCCAGAACGCCCAGCAGACCCTCAGCTGCTCTGCGCTGGCCAGCCAGTACATGCGCTGTGTCAATCAGGCCAAAGAGGTGGGTGTGTATCCGCTCCCGGCACCAGTGGGAGCGTGCCCAGTGTCATGGGACAGTGGTAAGGATGTCACGGGCTAATGTGTGTGAAAAAGCTTTATAAACCAAACTAGTCATCATCATCAAGAATTGCCGTGACAAGTTGGTTATGCTGTAATCAACTTCCATTCAGATGGTTGTAAGAAGAGCCTGTATTCGCCTTGTGCTCAACCCCTTACTTTCAGAAAGAAAGAAAAAAGATTCTTACTACACTAATACTTTTCCCAGTCGTTCTGAACTTGTGTCCTCTGTAGTAATTGTGTCTTCAAGGTCAGTGCTCTCTATTTCTGGGCCAATACTCAGAGCCAGCAATGAGGAAAGGAACACGTTTAGAGGCCAGCAGCTTTAGGTCTATAAGCAGCAAGTAGTCATGTGGAGAACCTGGTTTAAAACAAACAAAAAAACTAAAACAAAAACCTACCATTCAATCTTCTACCAATTGGTAGAGTCCACTCATTTGGCCAGGGAAAGGGAGGCCAGAAGCAGGATTTAGGAAATGTTTCTACCACTTTTTATACCAGAGCTATATTCTTCTCTGGACTCTTCATTATCAGAATAAGATGATGAGTTTTCCCTCATTTATGTACTTTAGAAAGCTCATGATGAACTCTGAAGCCAGTTATCAATTCTGGCCAGTTGCATAATTGCCTATCATTTAACTGATTTAACTGTTGGATATAGGCTGTTCTGAGACAAAAATTGTTGGAAATCTTGATTCTTTCTGCTACTAAACTCCCTGGAGTTGACCTTCTAGCCCAAATAAATCTGGTGTTTGAGCTACACAGCATGCCTTTCCACAGTCTGAGTTGCTGTAGTTATAATAATACCACTTAGCATAAATTTCTAACATTGCATCTGATGGGAGGGTCGGTATTACCTGCACAGCTGGGCAACAACAGCAATGCTAGTGGTCCTCCTTAACCACGGTTTCACTTTGCACAGTTTCAGTCACCTGAGGTCAGCTGAGGCCTGAGAATATTAAATGGAAAATTCCAGAAGTGAACGATTCTTAAGTTTTAAATTGCACTGTTCTGAGTAATATGATGAAGCTTTGGGCGATCCCATTCCATTCTTCCTGGGATGGGAATCATCTCTTGGTCCAGTGCATTCTCACTATACACACAGTACAATAAGATATTTTGAGAGAAAGAGAGAAGGGAGATTACATTCACTTACCCTTTATTACAGTTTGCTATAATTAATCAATTTTATTAGTTGTTATTCTCTAATTTATAAATTAAATTTTCTCATAGGTATGTAGTGTTATAGGAAGAAACAGTATAGTATACCTGTGGTCTGTGCACCCACTGGAAGTACTGGAACATATTGCAGATAAGGGAGGACTACTGTTACCAAGATGATTTAAAGCCTATGTTGTCTTTGAAAGCCTGATGGCTTGAGGCTTTTTTCTATTTCTTATAATGACACTTGTATAGCTTTTAATAGTATGCCAGGGAATTTTTCTTTAAAGTTCTTCAATAGAAATAATGTTGATATTGTTGTTAGTACATTGTATTTGCAAAAGCAGCTTCTGATAGGCTCTTTTTTAACAAACCTGGCGTTCAATATTAATACCAACGGAGCATTTAGGACCTGCCAGTTGGTGTGTGGGTTTTTCTGACCTGGTATCAGTGCTGTATGGAGGTGGAGGTGGCAGCCAGGCTGGGAATGGCCATGATAAAGTGGATGTTTGGGGGCTGGTATCTAATGCAGGTCCCTGTCTCCCCAGCGTGATCTGTAGCATCACTGTAGTGGTAGCTGCAAGGGCGTCTGGGGTATTGACTCCATCCTGCCTGTCTGATGTGTTGAATCATCCTCACATAGCCCCATGAGATCGATGACATATATCTATAGCATAAAACACAGTTAACTGTGACACAACCAGATAGGCCATGTGGAGCAATTGAGAGTTCAAGTGGGCAGATCTGAGTTTATATCTGAGCTGTGTCTCTTACTAGTTCTCTGACCTTGGGCCTTGATTTTTCTAGTATATGATTTGGGACAATATTATCTCCAGTGTTGTTATGAGGATTACATTTATATAAAGTATTCATAAATGTTATTTTTTTCCTTTTTTCCTCGGTTGTATATTTCATGCTGAAACCAACTGAATTGATTAGACAAATACATCAGATTATTAGTAGCAATTCCAAGAGACCCTCCTGTCCCCTACCCAACCTGCAACATGATTCAACACTGTTTTCAGCAAACATCTTTCCAGTACCTATTGTTTTCACCTCTCTTATGTTCAGGTATTAGGGAGTGTATAACACTGGTAATGTTAAAAAGATAGACGTCCACAGAACGTTTTATCCTAAAATGGGCAACACTGAAATGGGCAAGAACCAAGAGACATTAATACCCTGTATTTATTTCTAAAGTACTTTAGATTTCAAGGTGACTTCACTGTTTTGGGGTGTTTGTTTATTTGTTTGTTTGTTTATCCTTACCCATAGATATGTTTTACTGATTTCAGAGAGAGAGGAAGAGGGAGGTACAAGAGAAACATCAATCAGTTGCCTCCTAAAGAGGTCCCAGCAGGGATCGAGCCCGCCACGCAGGCATGTGCCCTGACCGGTGCACAGGATGATGCTCCAACCAACTGAGCCACCCAGCCAGGGCCTCTTGCTTGTTTTTGATGACAACCTGAGATGTAAAGAGAGATGGTTTTGTTCTCTTCATTTTACAGTTGAGAGAATTGAAGCCCAGGGAAGTCATGATGGTAAATTTAACAACTAGACCAAAATATACCTTGCCATCAAAGTAAAAAATTTAAAAGTAGTGTTTGACTTTTGAGTTGGGTGCATGAAGGTGCATCCATCAACCACTAATTCAGATATATGAGGGAATGAGGGAAAATGTGTACAGTAATTATGAATTGAAGGGAAACACCGTAAAGATCAAATTAAGTAGTTGGTACTAGAGGCTGAGGGTAATCAGTGGGGGAATGGGATTGCAAAGGGCAAGCAGAGGTGTAGTTCCTCACAGCCCCATTTTAAGTCTTCGCCAAAATGGCCACTCTATCAGCGCTTGGTGCGTACTCTTCCTCTGATACCATCTTTTCCTTTTTCTCCTTGTCAAGTTAGTCTGAGTGCTGTCCCCAGTGCTCCTGTTGTTAGAAGAGTCTGACAGGACATCTGGTCATCTACTGCAGTTCCTGCCTGGGCCCCACCCCTTCTTATGTTTCCTTGTTACATCCAGAGAGCAAACTGGACACGCCAACACAGAAAGCACTGACCATGACAACAGCCCATTAGGTTGCCTTGTCCATTTCCGGTGTAGTGCATGAGTTTTCCCCTTGGAATAATTCCAACAGCCAAGTCCACTCCACTTTTAAATGACTCATAAGATGAGGCTTTCACTGATGTCCTTGGGGCATTGTTCTGAGGCTAATAGACTTTAATGATAGGAAGATTTCCGGATATTCCTCAGCCTTACTTTTCTCCTTTCTTAGTCATCCACGGATTCACATCAGTCTTTTTTCAGCTATTCTCGAACAGTTCCTCAAGGGTTGACAGACCATTAGACTGCTACTTCCAATATAATAGGTATGTGTCTTCACGGAGGTAAAGAGATATTAAATTGCTATAATTATTATATCAAAGGCTTAAAAGCTACTGGCCAACTAGATAAGATACAACATTTAAAAATATAGTCTATCAAATGGTAGACTTCTGTCTTTCATTTCTTATATCTGCTTAGCCTCATGGCTTTCTAAAACTCCCCAAGATTGAACTACCTGTTCTTTCTTTACCATTAAAACCCTATTCTCATTCAGTCTTCATTCTCCTACCTTACAGGAGACTGGAAGGGAGGGGGAGGTGGGAAGCCAATAGTAATTGCCCACTAGTGGCCCAAATGTCCCCAGATTCTGTTTATAAAAAAAATGTGTGTGGAAAGGACTTGCATTCCTGTGCTCCGTGGAACACCCCACTCACTGTTCCTCAATTTACTTGCAGAATCCAGCTCCTGGGGCTGGGGGAGGGTAGTGATTGTAAGCATTCCAGCTCTAGTCTCAACCCTGCTGATATTGACAGAAACCTACAGAGCCAGCTAGACTCCTGGGAGCAGTCTCTGTCCACCGGAGGGTAGTTTGTGGGAAGTGCAGTAGCCAACACCAGCCTGGTCATGGCCACCTGGGCTTCAGTTGCTTCCTTGGGAAATGAAGTGTTTGAACTAGGTGATGCACGAGGGCCTTCCTCTGGTATCTGGGACACTTTTCCACCCACGTGTGAGAGCAGGAGGCAGTGCACACAGGCGCACCCTTGGATGTGAGGACATGTGGCCTATGTGGGTACCAGCAGCGCCCCTGCTCCGGGGCCTCCAGCCTGTGCAATTCTACTGTCAGCCGGGAGCTTCCACCCGGGAAGCACAGCTGCATTTCCCATCGGTCTGCCTGTCGTCTGGCCTCCCACAGCTGCACCCTTTCCTGGGAAGTTGTACACCTGTCAGCCCTGGGCAAGCAAGGTAGCAAGGTGACAGAATGAAGTTGTGAGGGGGTGAAAACAGTTTCCGAGTCTCTACTAAGTCAGTGAAATGAAAAATGGGAATCTCAGCACTGCCTGGCAATGTAGGCTACAGGCTGATCAAGTGCATTCGGAAATGCAGGGCCGAGTACCTTAGCCATCCTAGGCCCCCCTGGACTGCGATGACTTTCATCCTGTGTGCCGTGGGTGGTGAGGGATTGTGAAGTCAGAGCAGAAGAACCAAAGAAAGTCCAGGACAAGAAGCAAGGGCCAGACCCAGGAGATGCCCAGAGGATGGAGGCAGGTGATGGAGGCCAGGCAGGAGTCGATGAATCACGGCCGAGGTTGAATTCAACAAGTGGGCAGTAGGCAGGCAAGCAGCTGGCTGAAGAAGGAAGCCCCTCTTGGGTCTGTTTTCCGCTGACCTCTCCTCCAGCTGTAGTGGGAACAGTCAAGGCCCCGATAAGTGAGATCCAAACACTACATTACTTCCTCCAA